TATGTAAAATGACAGAGGAAAATATAATAGTTTAATTTCATTGAAATCTCTCGAAAAATGTAAAATAGGAATGGATAGATATGGAATAAGTTGTTTTTTTTATGTATTTTCTTGTCGATGTAAGAATAATTCCATCAAGAGTTATTCTCTCTCTCTCTCTCTCTCTCTCCTCAAGTTGAGCGACTATTTGTTAATCTTGAACATATTATCGAGTACACAATCATCTCGCGTAAGTTTTAATAAGTTCATTCATAATAAGTAAATTCTTGTATCGCGTAAGAAGTAGTAAAATAACAATTAGGAGGATTACCTATATTTATTACAAACGATAATTTTTACAGTTTAAATAGATTCAGCGTCATGTTAATATTATGTGGACCCGCTGTCTTTTCGAACGTTTCGTGTTCCACAATAATACACATCCGCGATAGCACGTAATAATTTAGCTCAAAGAGCCGCGTTAAAACTCACACATTACACATCTATATGCGGTAATACTCAGAAATTATGCTACAAACTAATCTCATTCAGAAACGAGTACCTACTCATTGCGGTTATGGATATGTAATAATATATATATTGTCCAAAATAATAATATAAGTCGATAGCACATAGAACTATATGATTATTCTAACAAAATATAAAATATGTTAAATGCATTTGTAATACTAATGTCGGCATTTCTCTAAGCACAATCTTCCTTATACGGAATTCTGATATGAATTGATAAAAAGAAAAATATATTGGCGCAATCTCTTGCGTGTAAACTTGGTAAAAATATCGTAATACAAATGGGGATTCAAGTTTATCTTAAAAGAAAGGGTAAACGCATAATGTATGATAATTAAATCAATTTTATTTCGTAGCAACATCTCTCGCATGATAATGTGAATATTAACATTGAAGTCGTTGATGCTCATTGAATTTTCTTTTCTTTTTTGTATTTGGCTAAACATCGAAAATTAACAGAACGGTGTTGCTCAAATTTTCGTGGCACATTGCAAATATCAGTTGAACATTTATACGAACGATAACACTGTTGAGCATACTACCTACATTTATAATTCGTTCTTAGATCACGAGATGTACCACGAAAACTATATTTGTTCCTTACGTACGTGTTTTATAATTTCAATCTCTTCGCATTTTCGCGCATATAATTTATATCTGGCTAAAAGAATTGTCTATCTCACGTCGCTTTTTCCTTCATGCATTGCTAGTATGCTCGTGTTTGTTGGATTTGGAAATAGAATATAGATGTACACACACGTGATTATGCGAAAATTTGTATAAATAAATGTCGATGTGTGTAATTATATTCCTTTGGTATCGGACATTTTATTAATTTAGAACAACATAGGATATAACATACTTGATGCTACATCTATATACATCAAGTATTATTCATTCTTTTTCACTAATCCATCCTTAGGGTGATCCTTAACAGTCACCTGTTTCTTACTTTCCACCATTTGCGCCTCCATTTCCCCAGAGAAACCAAACTCATTCACTCGAGTGTGATCGGTCTTGTATATCCATCTTTGGTACAAAAATATGAAGAAAACAATATCGTCGCGGAAGCAGCCGATCCTGTACAGAGTCGGCATTTTTATCACAAATGCAAAGATGTCGTCGATGAATGTGTTTAGAAATTTGTACGACAGCATACGCCATGGAAGATGCGCAACGCTCTTCAATTTGTAATTAATGAATAGCTGCGGCGTCATCATAATGAACCCAAAGGTCAATAAAAATCCATATAACATACTGAGAATCCAAGAGTACCATCCCTTATGTTCTAGATACATTAAGGAATAAATTGCATATCCTCCCAATAGAGGATACAAAGCCCATGAGAGATATTTAAAAGCGAGTCTGTCATACTCTTTCGTAGAAGACTCTACGTACGAGCCTTTATCTTGGAAAGATATCTTCGGAAAAATTCCTAATATTCTCACTTCTTTATTGACATTAATGTCCATAACTTTGTTAATCTTCCATACCTCAATGCATAAGCCTATTGCGCAGCTGATGCGCACGACAGTGTTTGTCTCGTTATCCAGAACATAAAGAAGAACAACGAGAGACTGGAATACGTTGAAAAATACAGAGCGAACCGATAGACCCTCCAGGGATTTTCGGTTATTCCAGAATTGAATGTCTGAAAAAAGCATGAGAAATTTTTTTCAGAACGCGGCTGATATGATTATATATAATATGCGCGATGTGTCTATTCTTTATTAGTACAATTTCTTTTTTATTGGTATTATTTCTTTTTCTTATTCTTTATTGATATAACATGAATTCGATTTTTAATAGCTTACCATTCTTAAATGCTAAAAATTCAAACACGCTATGTAAGATTGATACGATTATAGTTAATCCTAGTAGATATGGATTTGTTTCGAGTAAAGTTTCTTTCAGGGTATCTTGATCATTATCATCCTCATCGGAAACTTCTCCTATATGAACAATGATAACAAGATGATAAAACTTACTAATCATGCAATTAAAATTTATATTTTAATTCTTGTTATTTTTGAAGTGTAACAAACCCATAAATGATGATGTCCATTTGTTTCTGACAGATTGAGCTGCATAAATTTGCCATTTGAACAATGAAAGTGGTTGATAAGTTAATCTAAGATCCAATTGTTCTACTGTATTATTTAATGGTTGATAGTCCCGCTGCATATTCCAAAAATCATTCATATATAGTATTGGTTTATAAGAATTTCCACCAGGTAAGAAATGTATATCTAAGGAAAAAACAATATAGAGTATACTATTTCCACAAATAATATAAATGTGTGTGAACTTACATTCATCTAGAGGTTGTGGTACCTGACCATATACCCAGTTAGTTTCATCAAACACCAAATTAACAGTCAAATTTGGGTGCCAGTGGGATACATATTCCTGATCCATCAATTCAGCTTTCTACAAGAGTTCACATGTTCAGTATAATACAATTTATATAACAATTTTGAAAGTCAAATACATACCGCTATCTCTTCTTTACTAGCTGTGCTCTCACCAGTTAACAAATTGTGTCGCTTTTGGTATCTAATTTTTTTAAACTTATTTAACATTTTTCTCGAATAAGACATATAGTCACCAGCATAAATATCTTTGCCTGCTTTGGGATTCGGCGATTTGCCACTTTTCGTTATGTATACATGAAGATAGATCGAGCCATTTTGTTTCAATTGCTCAGATGGGATAAATGTGTGCTCAAGTATTCTAGATCCATCTCGGTTCGGACCACCATACCAATCTCCATAAACTAATCTTTCTTCAAACCAAATTAAAGATCGTGGATCATCAAACCTTTTAAAGTTCTCAGATTCCGACAGATAGACACTGAGATCGAATAGTGTTCCATTCGAAAAATATATTTACAGCTTGTAAGCGCGTGTCGCCGACGGCGTTGGGAGACTTAGGATTATTATCAGAGCGTCTAAAAAGGCTACTAATAAAATAAATTATAAGGGCTCGTATAATTAACGATTTCGTTATGGCAAAGAACGACTCCAGACGCGACTGTTGTGCCTTCCGTCTCTGTTCATTATTCTCCACATTTGCCTGTAAGAAATATTCCTGGATTAAAATTAAGCTATAAGATTTTCCTATGTTCGTATGTAAACAGCGATAACTAAAAGAATAAAAAAATGTAAGGTAAATAAATTTTATCTATCGTTTTATTTAAACATATCTAAAATGATATTATACAATCTTTAAAATTAAAAGAAAATGACAAAAAGTTTATGTATATTTGAAGAGATGTTAATATCATCTTTCAGAACAAATCCTATTTAAAAGTCTCGGAAAAAAAGTAAAACAACAAATATAATTTAAGGGAATTAACACACATCTGTTTCGTCGTTATTTTGCTCAGTTCTTGGAACCAATTCACCGTTGGGCTGATTACTATCCATATTTTCTGTGACATCTATTTCCGCGTTGTCACGACGATCGTCCTCTGTAACCACCATTTTTTTTCTGTCAAGTCCCGTGGTCTCGTGAGCGCCCTACCACAGAATATATACTATGAGAAATGAAAGCTCTGTATATAAGATAGGCAACGATGTAGGATTAACACAATGGACGGCGTACACAGCGCCGCTGATTTCATTGCTTCTCTCACGGCGGGAAGCCCTAGAGACATTGAGTGCTTTCCAACAAGAAGAATTTGTTGTTACACAATGTGACACAAAGAGACACTGTAAGAGGCACTGTGGGTGCTTTCCAACACATACACAGACGACACCGTGTAACACAATGTCTACACTGGTGCTTTCCATCTATGACACAGAGAGACACAGAACGACACTGCAAAACACAGTTCGATCCTAAGTTTGGCCGTGTCAGACGTCAATGGGTGCTTTCCAATAAGGAGAGTTTGGTGTGACACAGAGAGACATTGTAAGATACAGTTATAGAGTTTAATTGGAACACATAAGTTACTAAATACTAGAAAGCGTAAAAGATTATGACGTAGGAGAAGATCATCACGCATAAACATGAGCGCATTTTTTTCGTTATTATCCATTACTGCCAGTGCATTTTTTGAAGAATTATTGATACTGAAATAAATTTAAGTAAATTATATGTATTGATTATTTCATTTCTAGGTACAAAGCGCTTTATTTTATATTTGTGAAATAACTATGATCTTTTCGATTTGACATTACATGGAATCTCATTCATTTCAGGTGAGTATAATAAATAATTATAATAAATATAATAAATAATTCCTTTTCTCTTTCAAGGAAAACTTCTTTTCTTTTGAAACAAGTATGATGCTTAACATCATCTAATGTAGAAATAATTCCTTTACAATGCTGACAAAAGAACATATCTGCAATAAAAATTAATCCAATAGAATTTGTAACTAATAATGGGTCATCAACAAATACGTAATGTTTTTAAGCTTATATAATTCTTTAAATAAAATAAACTGAATATTGATTACCTAAGAATTCCGGGTTCTACGTTATTCGAATGCGACGAAGACGTGTATATATATATATACACACACACACACACACACACACACAGTCGTCCCGCAGCATGT